ATTTCTGCACCCCACAATTTCTCCATGAACCCCGGGGCAGAGGATGATGCTTGCTCTGCAGGCTGAGTGTTATCCCATTTCCAAGGTGCAGTTTGGGACACATCCTGCTGAGCCTGCTGCAGTGTTTGCCCTGGGCTGCACCAAGGCTGCTCTGCCCACTGGCTCTGTAAAGCAGCATCTGCTGCCCCACATCTCTGCAGACTCATTGATTTAGATGTGGCTGAACAGGCTGACAACCATGAAAAAAAAAAAAAATATAAATAAACATTTGCAAACACATCTTTTGTGTCAAAATAAATACAGGGAGGAAAATGTTGGCAAATTCCGTGAACTGAAGGAAGTTCTGCATTAAGACCTGCAAGTTAATACAGCACAATGGCAGCATTTCTTCCTCCTCAATGTACAGTTTTAGTCAAAGGGAGGAATTTTTATATAAGGTGAACAAATTTTTTTTTGTGCCAGCCATTTTAGTAGCTGTTAATTGAACCCCTGTGGTTTAGAATTTTCTTTGCTCCGTCCATGAATTTAAAATTTAGAATTTGTAGATGACTTTTGTTATTATATAAATGAGAGAAGCAATTTTTTTTCCTAGAAAGGAGATAATAAATATGAAGGAACATGGTATGGTAGTGAATAATACAGAGAGAGTACAATAGGAACACCTTCAGAAATTTACAGCTTTTTGGAGGTGTGACTTCCAGTCATGTCCTTTGTAATGTTTCTTTTTGTTGAAATGCTAAGATTAAAGGGTGTTTCAGTAAAATTGCTGATTCCAGGTAGAATAGAATGATGTTACTAAATTTCAATCAGGTTTTTTTTAGAAAATATACTTTAAAGTACTTTTTAGATAGTCAAATATATTTGATCATAGGGCCACATTGTAAAGCACGTGGAGGTCAGATGAAAAAAGAGACTTATAAACATATATAATAAAGATTTGACTCTGTGATCTTGGAGATATTTCCAAGCTTAATGATTCTACGTTTCTATGAAATAGCAGTTTGGATTTTTCCCTAGCATAAATATTTAAGGTTTTCTGTTTAAAAAAAAAAAAAATTAAAATCTGAATTAGTCATTCTCTCAGGATAAGAAAACTGCTGATGTTAGGAAGTGAGGCTGTAATGAAGATGTTTAGTGAAATGGTGCAATTTAAGGTGTTTAGTAGGTACAGAGACATCAAACAAGAAAGAAATAAGTTGGAGCTGAAGATGAAATAATTACTGTGATGATTACATTTGAGCCCAATCTGTGTGAATGCAGAGTGCTTCAAGATGGGGAAAGAAATTATTTTCGTGACTTGAACTTGCATTATAAGATTCTGGGGGAGGCAATCTCCCACCAGGATCTCCGGGTGGCTGCCGTTGGGTACCGGGTTGCCATGGTAACAGATGGAGGCTTGCCCGGTTAAGCATCCTCCAAACCCGGTGGTATTTTCAGTTGGGGGCTTCAAATACTCATCTTTGCTTCTTTGTTATTTGCATTAATTATCTGCCTATTGGTTCTTTAAGTAGGACTGCAGGTGAGGCTGCTTAACTCTTTGCTTTCTGCTGTATCCCTCTCTATATATTTATATATGGCTCTCTGCGGCCCCTTGGAGAAAGCTGACCTGCACTGGAAACTGGACCCAATCTCTGTATTCTGTGAACTGGTGACAAAACTGGCTGAGCCCTTATATTGCAGTTCAGATCTGATTCTACTGATGTGCTCCTGGGGTGGAGGGAAAGCTGCCTCTGAGTGGCAAAACAACTGTGCATGAAATAGGAGCAATAATATCATCAGTCACAGTTTTGGATGGCTTTTGCATTTGAATGCAGCTCTTTGCCTTGTCTGTGGGGAATGGGGGCAATTTCAAAGATCTGCCTTTTGTTAGTGAGGTGTTAGAGTGGCAGGTAAGCCAGAGGCAGTGCTGGAATGTGAAATGTGAAGGGTTAAACTTCACAAGAGGAGACCTTATATCATGTGTGACTGATTTTCTTTGTGGGTGTCATGTATGCCCTGTTTGCACCAACTGGGGCACAGAGACATCACTCTGATTCTTGTCCAGAGACAAGGTTGCGGTTTGTGGGGTTTTCTGCAGCAGTTTCTAGCTTGTGAAGAGCAAACCTCAACCTCATACCCCAGTATTCACATTCTAGTGCTCATTTCCATCTTAATATGCTTTTGTTGCTGTTCCCAGTGCCTTACCTGCCCTTGTACCACTTTGGCTCAGAGCTGTCCCTCCACATCACCCAGTCCCCTCACTGTTATTATACTGACAGTCCAAGAGCCCATTTGGGGCCTTGGCTGCAGCTCCAGGAACAGGTATGGAGTGGTGTGGCAGTACTGTGATCCCCAGTGTGTGAGATACCAAATCCAGCAACATTCCCACCTGACACTTGCACTGTAATGTGGTATCTGTCACCAGCAGCCTTGAGTTATCCTGTTCTGTGTGTGCTGAGACACCAACTCTGGTTCTTTGCTGTGCCCTCTGACCTCCTGAGCCTCTGCCCTTGCTTCTTCAATCTTTTTCCTGTTACTTGTTTGTGATGATTTCTGCAGCAAACCTGGGACCAGAGCGGAGCTGTGAGGTGGCTGAGGGGAAGGGGGGACCACCAGCCCTTGAACTGATGCTTAGTCCTTGGTGATGCTTAGTTTGGGAACCCTGCAGACTGCATCTTCCAAGCCCCAAGGACACAATTCCTCCCCCTGCAGAGATCAGATCTGCTGGAGGATGAGCATGGATGGGCCAGTGAGATATTAACAAGCCTGATCCTTCCCTCAACACTGTTCTGGTTTTTTGTTTTTGCTTCAGGAAAGAGTAAAATCTTGTCCATCTTTAACAGGTCCATGTGTGAATGTGGCAGGGGGTGGGAGAAAAGTGGCACATGCCCCAAAATAAACAGTGGGCAATAAATGGTAGGTGCAATCAGGTGGATGAAAAAAAGTCAAATCTCATATCCCTTAATCAGTGTTGGTAACTGAATGCTATTAATTGATTACTCAATACCTGTTAGCATGAAAAGCCAGCAGAGACCTTCAGTGACAACAGCCTTCAGTTCATGCATTCATTCTGTAAATTATTAATAACTGATATTGATTCTCTCCCAACTGATGAAATATTTGTCTTTTTTGAGGAGTAACTTCTTTTTTCTTTAAAAGATAAGTCAGATTTATTTAGGAATTTTGTTGCTTAATTTTCCTCCAGGAGCCAATCTCTCTTTGCAAGTTGTTTGGAGGGGTTGTCCACGTTTACATACCATGGCTGTTTCTGTATTATGTTCTTCCTTGGTATCTTCAAATGTTTTTGAGTGTAGTCATGACCACTGATCCAGCCAGATGTTTTTGCAATATAATTTCCTCAGCAGGAAGTAGAGAAAGACCTTTATCAGTTTCATTACTGGTTTTCTCACCAGCATTTATGTGAAAATCCAAGATAAGTAAGCCCACGAAACTAGGAATGGAAAAAAGAAAAGGCAGGGGTGTATGATGTTTTAATGGAAACATCTGCAGCTTGTCTTCAGAAAATGTCAAATTCTTTAGATAGATAGGTTGACACTATTGCAACATTCTTTTCCTTTCTTTTTCTTTTTCTTTTTTTTTTTTCAGATGGGGAAAGAAAGAGCTTAACTGCAGCACATTGCAGCAGTTTCACTACAGGGCTAGGAGCAGGATTGGGTTCTCCTGTTCCCAGTCCATGAGTTGATGACCAGAATGTTCTGTAGCCTCTCCCCAGGACTGCTATATTTGCTTCATTTTCGTTTCATTCAGTCCTGCCATGTTATCTTGGACCATCTGTTTTTGCTGTCAGTGCTTTTTGCCATTTCTTCCACGGCTGCTTTCTGCTTGGAACAATCTGCTTGGCTGACAACTCAAAAACTGCATGTACTAGGACACACAGAGGGAGCTGATTGCATTCTCATGGTAACAAGGCAGGGAGCCAGAAAGGATAGATAAATTATGATGTATGAGTGTGGCTTCCAGCCTGGCCTCTTGCTGAACTTTATTCAACACATCCTGTTGGTTCAAAAGGATGATACAACCTGCTAGAATATAACTCTTGCCCTACTAGAAATTCACATGTGGCCAAAGTAAGCACCTCGGTTTATTTAAATCTCAGTTTGTGTGCTGAACTAAAAGGCAGAGATGATCTTAGGAAGAATGAGAGGTTGTGGGCTGGATTCCCTCCGTGTGCACCCTTTCTAGTTCCCTTCATTCCCACAGCAGCTTGACAGGGCTTGACACTGATATTTTCCACTGCCAATGTGAGGATCTATGACATCACAACAAAAAAGAGATATTGCCTCGACTATTTTTACTGCTCCTTCACTTGGATGTCTCGGCTTCAAGAGTCCCAAGATGGAAATAAAATGTATTAAAAAATGGATGAGGAACAAAGCAATATTTTGGGGTAGACTTAGCCATACTTTTAATTCTTCTTGTCACACACAGCTGCACTTTCTGTCTCTTCTTAGTCAGACCACGTGTTCTTCTGGAGATGAAACCGGTGACCTGATGTTTGGGAACTCTGCTACAGTACTTCAAAATACTCAGAACTGGAAAACAGAGACATAGAACGAGTGTCAGGAAAACTTGACTAATTTAGGACAGTCCTAATAATACTTCTTCCTTTTTTTGGTTGTTATTTGGGTTATAAAAAAATGAAATGTTTGGGAGGACAGTGTTCTGTTTAAAAATAAAGTTTGTAAGTTCTCTGCCTGGCTGGGTGACCATTGTACCAAGTGCTGGCTGATGCATCAGGATTCCTGAGCATGCGGTGCAAAACTTGCTCAGCACATGTAAAACTGGACAACAAACTGTTTAATTAGGTGGCTTCAGTTCCATTTAATGATTATTGGGTTTTGAGGGTTTTAATTCCATGACCTCACCACTCTGGCAGTGTTTGAATAAAAAATTCAGGATTTGGATGGACAGCTATGAGAGTGTTTCCCTATCAAGTCACAAAAGCTGTGCAGCACGTATACAGAAGTATTCTTTAATTGCTTTTCTTTTTTATCTTTTAGGTCTTTCAGCAGCGAAGCTACTGACTGAGTCAGGCTTGAATGTGGTGTTGCTGGAAGCTAATGACAGAGTTGGTGGAAGAACCTTCACCGTAAGGGTAATTATCCCCAGTGCCATTTATACTTACAGTGTGTGCCATATGGGGCAAAATTTCCAGATTACCAGCAGGTGGGAAATTTCCTGATGTTGTAGCAGTAAGAGTAGGGAAAGACTGGCATGATGGTTGGCACATAATATTTCTGTGGTCTTTGGGCTCTGGAGTCACCCAGCTGGGAAGGAAAATGTGATGAGCTAAGTTTCAAAATCATTTCCTGGGGAAAGACACTGCGTAAATCTCTGTGGAAGAAACACCAACCATGCTGTGAAGTCTTGAGCTGAACTGTGACATGCCCATGGTGTAGGGCAGAGGAGTGTCAGGGCTGCTTGGGAACTAGAACCACCCTGTCTCCCTTCACTCCCTTCTTCTGCTCTGTCTTGATGTGGGACACCCCTCTCACTCTGCCCATTAGAAAACCTTGCCTGTGCTTCTTCCTGGGAAGGAGATTTCTAAACTGCTCATTGCTGAGATGCTTGGCTGAGCAAGAGCTGCACAGATGTCTCTGACTCTCCTCTCTCTGCCAGCCAGGCTCTTTCCTCTTTCTAAGGCTGTAATGTAACAGTGGGTCACCTATTCTGGTTATGAACTCCAAATTGTAATCAACATGCTAGTTATGAACTCAGTAATCACCACACCAGAACTCTACCAAACAATTTGTTTTCCATGGGGAGAAGAATCTTAGCCAAAATGCTCTGGGAGTATTTTATTTAATTTTCATTTCATTCCTCTGTATTGCTCTTTTAACTTGTGTGCTGTTTACAAAGGACTTATCCCTTTTGGTTTTGTTGTTTTGTTTTTTTTTCCTTCCCTTTTGTGTGTGTTGTGTGCGAAACACCAGAATAAGCAAGTTAAATATGTGGACCTTGGAGGGGCTTACGTGGGGCCAACCCAGAACCGTCTCCTGCGGCTCTCTAAAGAGTTGGGAATAGAGACGTACAAAGTGAATGAGATTGAGCACCTGATACACCATGTCAAGGTAAGAGATGCTCTCAGGCTGCTGCTGTAAACATGAACATTGTAGTGATGTCCTTTCTCCCTGTTTTCCACTCTTCCTGCAGTGGTGAATACCTGTTTGAGTATGCAAACTCAAATAATACCTGTTTGAGTATGCAGCATCTGAGTTGGTTATAAAAATAATTATGTTGATAATGAAATCACCAACAAATTGCTATACTAGTACAAATTATGACAATCACACACATTAATGTGTGTGCCCTGTGGGAACATCATGCTAGCCCATGCCTTGGTTCAGGCCTCACCACTTAATTGAAAGCTCTCAAAAAATTTCCTAGTTTATGAATGGTGCAACTGTGACTCTTCTGTGCAGGTCAGCTCTGATACGCACTGCCCAAGGTGTCTGCAAATCCCTTTCAGCTGTCCTGGATGTATCTCCAAGCAGGCTGAAAGTCTGTCAGGATGGGCTTCCTAAGCCAGTGACAATTATTATGCTGATGGAAAGAAATGTGAGAGGTTTTGTCTGGTTTTGCTGATGGGGAGACTTAACATGCAGAGTAGCAAAATAGTAACTGCAAAAGGCTCTGGGAACCAGACAGTCTTGTGGAGGCAGATCTGAGGGATCTGTTCATGGTCTGAAATAGAACAGCTATGGCAAAGCTGTTAAAAAAACCCACGTATTCTCAGTAGTCATTCTGCAAAAGAGCATCCTTTCTCCTTTCCTGATATAGACCAGTGTTGCATTTGTACAGAAAGGAAACTTTCCTGGTTAGACCCAAGGAAGTTAACTCTGGGTTTCATTATGGAAAAGCCATTTTCATTAGGAAAAGCCATTGTGCAATGACTGGCAAAATATTTGTAGTTAGTGTTATATCAAATGTTAAATAAGATGTTTAGAGATTGGGAAAACACAAAAAGATGTCCTGTCATGTTTTCCATTATTTTTTCCACTCAATTATTATAAAAAAGAAAAGTTTTCTCTCAGTGATTTGATATGGTGACTGTCTGTATTTACCATTTCTATGGTAGAACTAATGGATACATCCACACTGCTCTGATTTGTGTGCCTCTGCCATCATCTTCAAAGCCAAATTTTCTGTTCACAGTATTTGGCCTTCAAATCTCCCCAGCAGTGATAGGAGGTCATGTCACAAGGGGAAACACTTGATATGGGCAGTCAGGATGCCCAGCTTGTCAGGCCAACCTGCTGTCCGAGAATGGTGGCATTCCAAAGTACTGCCAGAAATCACAGTTTTTTGGGGTTGTTCCCAGCCAAGTGTTGAAAGTCTCCAAGGACAGAGATCCCAGCTGCAGGCTGAGTACTCCCAAGCTGTGCTCAGAGCCTAAAGGTTGTATGGAGACAGTTTGTAGGCTCTATTGCCTGTAGGAGTTCCTGAAGAGAGGAGGGAGAGAACTGTGTGCCAGAACTCCCTGGTAGCCAAACAAGGCATCAAGAGAAGAGAATTCCACAGACAGTAGCACATCCTTTGCATTTCCCAATTTCATTCATTTAAAATCTTTTATTTCCACTTTTCTTCTGTGTTTATACAATTGTGGGGAAACATTAACACAGCTGAAAGATTACTCACATTTACATAATCAGCATGTGAGCACTATAAAATAAACATATGCACTGTCTTGTGGCCAAATCTTCAGCATTTCATGTACCTTCAACACATTCCTCACAGGTTTCTGAGCCATGTGGCTTGTCCATGGTTACTCAGAAAATGTACAGTGCTCATGTGCTCCTTGAAATCTAGGCACTGCTCCCAAGTTGTAGATTCAGAGTACACAAAGGTCTGTGTCCCCTGTGTGAATATGAATTCACTCACTGACCCAGGCTTGGTGACTGTGGCCAAATGTAATTAAATTCTGGACCACAAAATTATCCGAGCCCAGAGAGGGAATGAAACCTAAAGGTTTTAATTCTTCTTTTGCTACACAAAAATCAGGCATCACAGTGCATCTTGTAAAATCAGTCTCTGCTTTAGCTTATACCCAAAGGCAAAATCAAGCCTTTCATAGTTAATTAAATTCATTTTAGAGGCTTTTTAACACAAGTAATGTATGCAGCTTCTTTGTACTGCAAAATGAAAAGAATGCATTTTGTTGATCTCTGGGTGGGTCTCTGCTAATTAGGTGTTACCAACTTGATTGGGTTGCATGGTTCTTTTCTCCTTTAATCTTTTTTTAATGCCAGGTTCCATTGTGAGATTATTTTTGGCTTTATATTGCGTGTGATATCCTCACAGAAAGTCAAAATTATGTTTCTTGCCCTACATTTTTTTTCTTTTCCCTCCACTTGTTAAGCAGCCTTTTTCATGGTCTTTGAAAAGAGATTAGTATGTTCTTTTCATTTTTGTAAATACCAGTTCATCAGCCTTAGTGAGAAAATTAGTATAGCTCTGTAAGTAGTATTTGGTAGGCAAATTGCTGCCTGAACACCATTGATTTTTCAATAGCCTTACTGAAATTAGGTTCATAAATCCAGTTTTAAGAAGCAAAAGCTGAGCTGTCTGAGAAGTCATCATCTCCTAACAATTCTCCCACTGGACTGGTAGGCAGACGTAAAAGCTGTAAAAATGCTTCTAAAATTAAGATAACATCTTAGCTGCCCAGCAGAGGATTCAGGGTCCTACCTTAGATATGCAAATTTAAAACCTTTCACTAGTGGTGTTTATTTTCCTCACCAAAATGACAGCTTTTGTTTTTCAAAAAAGCAAAGCTAAGTAGTCCAGGTAATTTTTACCATGTAACAGTCCCTGGAAAGACTGAAATATGAAAGCATGCCAATTATTGTGAAGGTTTAATTAACAAATTTTCCTTGTTAATTCAAGTTGTACTTCACTTCTGTGGAGTCTCATTATCCATGCCAACTTTCTGCCTTTTAAAACACAAATTTACCACATCTTCAGTTGTAATGCAGGTTCATTGTCCAAGATAACTGTGGAACTGGTTTGCTCTGCCATCCTCAGTCTCTGTGAGGAAACATTTCTTTATATGAATGGTTTGCCCAATGAATGTTTTTACACAATTCCTCCGTGTACTGTGAGGATGATCCTCTCCTTGTCCAGCTGTGGTGCCAAATCTACATCCTTTGATCCCATTTCTACCAGATCTTTTTATGGGATAATACCACTGATGCTTCCTGGAAATTCCTTATTATAAAAAATGGTAGAAACACGTGTTCCTTCTAATCTCTGTGTTGTCTCAGGGCAGGCTGTGGATAGTGCTAACTGTTGGAGTCTGAGGCATAGAGCGTGCCCTTGTCTCTGATACCTAGCTCTGACATCCAGGAAAACACTGAATTTCATATAGCACCATGAAAATAACTGTTAAATAGAAAAGCTAAAAGTGTGTGTGGATCAGAGAGTTTTCTGAAGTCACTGGGTAAAAAAGTTAAAGTTTAGAGTATAAGCTAGTTTAGAAAACAGAACACAAGATAAAGGATTTAAGGTGTTGTCTCTTTTCCTCCTTCTTTCTTCTTCATCTTCTTCTAGAGGTTTTTGGGTAGTAATAGGTGATTGGATAGAGAATGCCACAGTGCAGCACACAGGTGTTGGGTCATTGGGTCACTAAGAAAAGTAATATACGTGTCTATTGTTAATTAGATTAAAATAATTTAGTTTAATAATTTATTAGTATAAAGATAAAGAGACTGCATAGATCAGAGCCATTTTGTGCCATATGAGCCGACTTGAGCCAAAGCTGTGGTAGGTAAACTTGTGCAGAAACTCTGGGGAAGACCTGTCAAGTCTTTTAATTATATATTAATAAACACGAGAAACAAGAAGCTAACGAGCCTTTTGGAGTATCCTTTCTGAAACAGAACTGAGATAAGGGAAACTCCCCTTTGAGAGGGTGTCCCAGAAGGGCTCAGCCCTGAAGAGACCGAGATCCCACAGCAACACTAACAGCTGGCTGATATAGCTGGCTATTTTCACAGCCTGTTGCACCTGAAGCATTCCTCATGTGGTTATAATGGACTTGGTTCTTTAGCACCAAAAAGGCCCCATTGCCATGGCACCTATCCTGGGGGTCTTTCAGGTTAGGATGCTGGGGGAGACATGAAGCATCCCCTCCCCAGTCACTGGATAAGTTCCTGAGAGCAGCTTGCCACCACATCATTACCTCAGTTAAGTGCCCAGTAAGAGGATGGGGTTTCCTCATGCTCATCCCTCTGCCAGCAGTGCTGGCTGGAGGTGTCTGAATGCATCTCATGCCCACGTGAAGTTTGGCACCACCTTCATACAAGGGTGAATAATTGACAGCTCTGGGGAGAGTGATGGCGTGAGCCCTGCCTGCAGCACCTCATGAAGGTGAATATTTAATCCTGTGCACACAGTGCCTTTAACCAGGACCCCAAATCTGCACTGATTTTGCCAGGTTAACTACTCATCTACAGCAGACTTGCAGAACAAAATTTTACAGCCCTCTTGGGTGTCATTCATTTTCATCACTATTGTGCTTATTAAAATGCAGTTTGCAAGTGGTCTTGTTCATGAATTAGAAATATGATGGTTGCCTTGTATTGGGATTTAATTAGCAGCTGGATAAGCAACTGCTGTATCTGAAGCTACAGAATTTAGTGGTGTTTCTTCTGTGATATCTGTGATACATGAACTGAAGCTAAGCAATATGATTTATTTAAGCTTTTCACCTGCAAGTCCAAGGGCAGTGTCTCTGGCATAGTCTGTAGTATGGAACATAACTGCTTAAATGGATTTTGAATGACTAGATAAAAGTGCTTTCATTGTTCTTTGTATATCTCAATTAGAGTGCAGTCAGAGAAAGACTGTGAGACTCTCAGTAGCTATCAGTTTAAGTGAGGTGAAATAGCCCTGTGTCCTTTATTTTCTTCCGTTTTTGCTGGCAATTTGTAAACAAGAATTTGGGGTACTAAGAAGAAGACATCTGAATGTTGAAGAAGCTGGGAATCTGTGTCTTGAAAGAGGAGCCAAGTAAATTCAAAGACACTTAAATTTCTGCAGGGCCTTGATAGTTTCACATGTCTTTATTGGA